TGAAACGTAGAGATTTGTAGGGTTTCATGTTTCCTATTAATTGAGATATTTGTAACATGTGATATCCATACATTTGAAGGGAACTTGAAATATTATGTGTTTAAATTGTACTAAAAATATATATATAGATGTGCACCTGATGCACCTGTTGCAAAAATATGTTATCAATATTAGACAAGACAGTGAATCTTTGAGTTTTCCTAACAATTAAGTGAAGGATTTGCAATTCGTGTCGAGTTATTTGTTATTTGGAAAATAATGGAGTTAGCATGGAGAAAGAATTTCGACGAGTCATTATTAACTACTCAAAGATTGCAAAATAATGCTACTAAGGTTAATGCATTTTCACATCTAGTCGACAAATACAAAGCTTTCATGATAAGAAATTGGGTATGAGAGGTTAAGTAGATACAGCATAAGAAAAATATTTGTGCAGATATGATGGTATAAAGATTCTACCGTCTAGATAATGGCCTACATTTTTTTAAGGATCCACTTGATGAAGTTTGCAACTACTCGAGGGAAGACATAATTGGTGTTTTTAAGGCTCATGCGCTATTAGATAATTTTCAGTGATATATCATTACATATTGTACCAAAAAAAAAAATGTAGAGGTGTTGTGCATCTCCAAACTAATTATTTTCAAAATGATTTTAAAGATGCATTTTTATATTAACTTGGTGCATATTAAAAATGGTGCTAGTTCAAAGAGTTAAATAATCTATATAATGACGCTTAGTAGTGAATTTAACTCTTGAAGTTATAATTTCTTTTAAAAAAAAAATGGAGAGCGAGTTTATTTATTATTTTTGATAATTGACAATTAAGTTTTTTTTTTTTTTTTTTTCTGAATATTGAGAGTATGATTCGAATCTCATACTTTTAAACTTGTATGAGAAGTCCTAACAAGGGGATGGTGGCCACTAGGCCACTAAGACATTCTCAATTGTCAATTAAATGTTTGATAATACAAAAATTTAAATATTTAATCTTAATTTAAAATTAAAATTTTTAGACTAATAAATGCCAATTTCGCCAAGCTATTATTATTGTTAATTGATGGGTGACTTGAAACATACCGGCGGGCATTGTATTTATTTTGGGCTCATTCCCTAACAAGAAATGAGCCCAATAGTTTTGGGCTCCGCTCTTCAGCC